TGAACTAGAAAGGGTGCTGGAAATCAGGGAAAATTGTCTCAACTGTCATTGATGCATTTGTGAGTAACATAGGTATTTCTTCTCATACTTTCCACCTCCAAATGAGGATATCTCCTGTGCTTTTCTGACCCACACAGGGACACACCGTGCAGTTTGGGAGATGCTTTAATTTAAAAATATACTGACAAGTTTAATCAGGGCTGGTAATAAGTTATTCTTGTTTTCACTTCCTCAAGAAAGGGAAAAAAAAAAAACAGCTTTGCTTTTGATTCTTGTTTTTGCTGGTGATGAGTTGTCTCTGTCATTCCCAGGAGAGCAGAGCGTGTCACACACGGGCAGTTACCCGCTGTGATGGTTCAGAGGGCAAAAATAACTCGTGGGCCGTGACAGCAGCAATGTGCACATTCAGAGCATCCTTCCTGAAGTTTGGGAGGGTTACAGTGAGAGTGAATGAGCCAGCTCACCTCCCAGAAGGCACCCTCAGCAGCAAAGATGGCAGTTTGCTGGGAAATGGCCATTTCATTTTTGTGGTGGTGCCAGTGAAGGGCCCTGTCAGCTCCCATTCACACCCCCAGCTCTAAGTGCAACTGGCTTTGATCGATTGCACTGCGAGGAGCCTGCTTGTAATTCTCGGTTTGTTCCAGTTTATCCACTACACCGGCTCCTGGTCACCTTATTATTCTGATCCTTGGGTGAATATTTCATAGATAATCACATAATTTTAGAAATTATTGTATTTCCAGGCTCCTGAGTTAAACCTAATCAATATTTATACTTTATTCAAATAAGGGATGATAATTTTTCTTATTATTATTTGACCTTGTATAAGATAGAAATCCTTTCTCTGCTACAAAACTGGGATATTTTCAATCACCTCCTTTTTTTTTTTTTCCACTGATCTAGATGCTGGCAGCAAGTTTTATTGTAAGCTCGTGTTTTATTTCCCACTCCTACACAAACGTATTTCAAGCAATTGGCTATGAACTATCTATATTATTCTGATCCACTTGTCAGTGAAATTATATCAACAATATTTACTGCACAGAAAAACTCTAAGAGCATCCAGCAGAACATCAGCTTGCCTGGTAATAATTCTGAAACAGAAATAGGTTACATTTTTTATAGCTTAAGAAAATAAGGTTAATATTGATTTGAAAAATTCATACACAGCCTTTTCTTTTGGCATGTTCAATGAAAGAAGAGAAGTGTGTGTATGGGTCAGTTTTAAGATGTGGAAATAATATGAACAATACAAGTTAATCAGATTTTTCTGCCATGTAGAAGTATTTAAACCTCGAAATGGTTTGGTTACATATTTTTGTGTTGCAGAGAGGTTGTTTTGTTACAAGTTCAAAGTATTTCATGACACAATCAACTTACCAAGCTGTCCTAGAGAAACAAACTCCAGCACAAAATTCAAGTACTGCAGGGACAGATACATTTCTGCCACAGCTGTGCAGCACTTTCAGGTGCAGAAAGTGAATTGGCAATCACAGTTTTTACTGTGATTTAGGAAAAGAATAGTTGTATTTGCAAAGTAGTGTCTGTATTTATACTGTCACTGTTCTTCACAAGCTTGTTCTTATCAACCATCAGGAAACTGAGGAGAAAAAGTGCTCCCATTCCAGTCTTATTCTGAAACTGGCAGTGAAACTGCTTAAATGGTTAATTCTCTTGTGTTCAGTGAGTGCAGATTTTATAACACTATGGGTCTGTCCTCTTGATTCTTTGGTTATGGCTCACGTACCCTAAAACATGAGGTGACAGCACTGGACATTTGGAAAGGAGGGCTGTTACCTCCTACCCTTTCCAACAGGAGTTACAGGAAACAAGTAACTCATCAGGAACCACATCCTGAAGTCCCCTTTCCAACTTCCTATGGAATACACACACAATTTGCACAAGACAGAAGCAAACAAAACCCTAAGCTAAACAGCAAAATAGAACACCAAGCCAAAAAATGTTTAGCAATTACACAATTAAAAAAAATAGTAAGAAATCTACATACACACATATTGTCTGTGTTCCTGGACTAGTGAAAACATCCTTAATAGCAAAACCTCCTTCCAGGCACAGAACAGAACTTTGCCCAGGAGAAGAATATGTTTAGAGTGAGTCTTAAAGCACACAAGCTCTTTCTGACAGACAGACTGGATTTGTGGATCAGTCCTTTGACAAACCGAGAAACCTGCCTTGGCATGACATTCCATGGTTTTCCTTATGGAACTCACACCATGGAGAAAACAAAACGTACACACAGGAAGTTCTACCACGGGGGCTGCAGCTTTTTTTGAGAAGCTCCAGCACTCTGTGCAGGGAGGAGTAGTTGGGGCAGAATGAATTCACCCGTCCTAATGCAACTTGACACCCACTTGAAATGTTCAAACTCCTTTTCTGTGATGCAAAAATTAATGAGAACTTAATCAGAATCCCCTGACAATACAGGGCACGCTCTGAAGCTACAAATGAGAGGTGTTCACTAACATGTAATTGAGAAGAAAATCTGCTGGATAGTTTGCAGAGATCCTTTTTTTTTGTTTTGCTTTTATTTGTGAGCATTTAAGCAGGTAAATCCGTGCTCCTGAAGGCAGAAGTGTTCTGAAGAGCAATGCAAATGTCTTCCCAGTGAAGTGACTTGCATGCTCATTCGAGGTGCTTGCAGAACAGAGTTATCAAGAAATTTTCAGGGTTTTACATTTAAGTATGACTTAACCAAAACCCAATTCCCCTTGTTTAGTCACTCAGAGATAAGGGCAGAATGACTTGTAGACCTTTCAGTGAAGAGTGAATGGCACCCTGTCAGGAGGAATTTCTGTATCTGCAGACACCAGTGGTATTAATTTGACTATTTCAAGTGATTAGGAAGTTAAATCATGACTTATTATAAAAAACCAAGAAGGTGAACCATTATTAAGAAAAACAATTAATCTGGCTGCAGGTAGTTTGTTGCCTGTGGTCTTTGAGGGTCTGGGTTGGGGACAGTGTCTCACCAGAGCGTGTGTGTTCTCTGTGTGGTAGAACTTCAGGATTCCAGTTCTGCACAGCCAACAGTGTAATTCACCTTTCTTGAGGGGAATAGACTGTGCAGGGCTTTTAGACTGTAATTACAGCACAGAGTGGGAACTTCATATAAAGATATAATGCCCAATGATAAAGTGATTCATAGCACTGTGAGTGAGTAGATGGCAAACCCAGTTGGGCCATTGCGTAATCGTCTCTTTCTGTAGTTGCTGTTGCTTTATGGTTCGTATCTGGGAGGCAAAAATGGTCATTTGACCACCATGTGATGCAGAAGCTGCCAAGCTGGCTCTGCTCTGCTCTGTGACCCATTGCTGGGCCATGCAGGGGGGCAGTCAGGGACCAGGAGCACCAAAGTAACCCTCTGATCCCCCAGAAACACGGTGCTTCCTGTTCAGGATGGGACAGCAGGGAAACAAAACGAGTATATAACATTTTAAAAAGGAAAATACAGGATCACAGTGCGCGTTTGGAAAGAGTGGGAAGAGGGAGTCAGGAAAACCCGTCTCAGGATTCTGATCTGGGAAAACCAAGGTTGTATCTGTGCTCCTGCATGTGCTTCCAGGATGGAAATATGGCTCACACCATGCACAATAAGCCTCATGCTTCTGAAAAGAAACAAATGTAATGCAGATGTGGAGCAAAATGCTGTTTTACGACTATTTTATTTTATATAAACTGCTTCATTAACTTCATCCATCTTAACTGGAAAGTTAAATAAGAGGGTAAATTACCATAAAAGAAAATCCAAACAGCTCCCTCTCTTACTATGATTTTTAAAAAGGATTTTCTTTTACACATTTTTAATCTGCTGTAATATAATATGATGTATTAGTCTTCTAATGGATCACTGGTGCATAATCTTGCAGTACTGCTGACTTAGATCACTGCAAGCCACAGCAGTGTTTGTGCGACAATGTAAGGCAAAAGTCATTCAGATCTCTTTCAGCTGGTGGAATTAAGAAAATTCATGCATATCCCTACTGTTCAGACCTTGAGAACTATTAATTGCCTCAAGATTAAGCTTAGGAACAGAGCAGAACACTTAATCTTCTAACAGGTCTAAATCTTATTTACCATTCAGCTACAAGCTCTTTATTAAAAAAAAATCTCCAGCAAGAGAAGGTTTTAATTGTAGAGCTTTAACCCCTAACCAGATTCCTGGTTAGATTAAATCTGATCTAATAAGCTAATTGTTAAACAGCTGATGATTCTGTCAAATCCCTGTGCTTAGTTGCTTTCGCATCCAGGTTTGTGGTGCTGGGTGTGACCTGTGCAGGAGTCTCTGCGTGAGAGCCACGTTCCTGTTCAGATTGGGTTTGTGAGGAGCTGTTTAAGCCAAGGTGGAAATATCAGTGATGTTTTGATCTCCTAGGAGTTGAAGCAATGTCCAGTGCATTCTTATGAAACATTTCTGCACCAGGATCTGTGGAATCCACGTGGCATTGGGTCACCTCCTGCAGGACACCAGCCTTGCAAAATAATGATGTAACACTTTGGAGCTCCTGTAGCCACATCCCCTTAGAGATGCTCAGGAGTTCCTCCACGTAATTGTGTTGGAGAGCAGTCCTAGGAATCTAGTGTGAAGGACAATAAGAGCTTTACCAAATATAGAAAACAAGACATGTTGGCCTCATGCCAATTCTTGTGACTTTCCCTGCTGGCTTTGGCTACAGCTGTACCCTGCCAGCAGCCAGGGCTGTGACACTGCCCTGTGTTTGAACACACACAGGCACCAGCTCATGCAGGAATTCAGATCATTGCTGCAAGGGAGTGATCCTTGGTTCCAGGTGACTCAACCCCCACGCCTGGGATCCCAGCAGGTTGAGCACACACAGGATCAAACCTGTTCCATCCCACTGGCCCCAGCCACTTTCCCAGGTGTGGCCTTTCTGCACTGCAGCTGATTTAGCTTCCTGAATATGCAGTGACAAATCACTGACAGTTCTCCCTCTTTCTGAGGGACATTCAAAACCAAACAGGAGCAGGTGAGACCACTCCAGTAACCCCTGAGAGCTGCACTTCCATTTCTTCCCTGAATACTGATAACAACAGCCGACTTGAGGGTGATGTAACCACCTCCTCTGAAAGCAAACGTGCAGCATTTCCCATTCATCTTGCTGTAATCACTAAAGGAAGCCATTTTTTCATAGTGTGTAGAAACCAAATGCAGTTATTGCTTCCTTCCTAATACTGACCCGGCAGCCTGGAATTTGTCCCTGAAGAATCACAGGCAGGTTGAAGATGTTGGCTGAAGACACCATTCCCACACACATGGCTCACGGGGACACGGACACCGGCAGGACACTGTCCTCACAGACAGGGATCACAGGGACACGGAGCACCGGCAGGACACTGTCCTCACAGACAGGGATCACAGGGACACGGAGCACCGGCAGGACACTGTCCCCACAGACAGGGATCACAGGGACACGGAGCACCGGCAGGATGTCCCTCCCACGGCCGCGGCCCAGGGGACATGGAGCACCAGCCACTGGCAGGAATGACCCAGGCGCTGGGAGCATCTCTCTGCCGTTTGGATTTTTATTTCCAACCTGGTGTAAACTGAGGATCAGAGATGTCTCTGGTTCCCCCCTCCCCCGAGCGCGGGGAGGGAGCTCAGGCACAGGGCTTTGGGAGCCTGTCCCGCTCACAGGCAACATTCCTGATGGCTCCGGGGCTCGCTCAGCTGGCTGTGCTCCCGAACAGCCCCGCGCGGAGGGTTTGCGTGTTGGAGGAGCGGGAGGAGCGGCCGGGAAAGGGCTCGGGCACAGCCGGGAGCGGGCGCGGCGCTCCGGCCGCCGGAGGGCAGCCTGGTGTATCCAAACCCCCCTGCTCCTGGAGTTAGGAGACAGGCCAGCCTACTGAGACGAGGGGCTCCACGGAAAATGCTTCCATGGAAATACTTGTTCCAAACCTTTAAATCTGCCCGTGGTTTTGCAGACGAACCCGCGGCAGGCGCACACACCGTGGCACCGGAGCATTTACAGGTGTCATTCCTGCCGGCGAGCTGCTCGTGGGGATCACTTCAGCGAAAATGCGTGTCTTTAATCCTACCTTTCCCCTTAGAGTGTCAGGGAATCGCGGCGGGGCTCTGTTAGGGCGCTGCCTGCAGGAACAGCCCCTGCGGACACGCGGCTGCTCCCCCAGGTGAGGACAGAGCGCTGCCACTCAAAGGCTGGGACAGACAATCAGCTCTAATGACAAAGCAGAAAGGAAAAGGGTGACAGAGAAACTCACCCCTCCCCAGTGTTTGGCGTTACACATTTGGGTGTAATGGCAGATGTATTAACCCTAGATTACACGGAACTGTCAAAGCAAAAACCCCATGAAAGCATCTAAATTCACGAATGTGTATTCGCTGACACTCTATTGCCTTTCAGCTGTTACCCTGTATAACTGTAATTTATAGATGTAAGAAAGAAATTCACAAAATAAGCAGAGGAAGGCAAATAAACCTTTCAGAGGAGCAAAAATCTATTCTAAGAAAAAATTACTACCCTGTAATAGGGAAACCACTTATTTAGATGTTGTTGTTTGAAGCATTTCCTGCTCTGCCCAGTGCCAGAGCAGAAAGGCAGCTTTCTGAAGGATGTTGTCCCAGGCTCTGCAGGCAGCAAGTGATGCCACCTACATCTGTGGATTGGTTGCAGGATTCCTCTGGTCCAGGTGCAGATGCTGGTGCAGGTCAGAGGTGGCACAGGTGCCACTTGTGCATCTTGTGCTGTGCCACAGAACAGACAGAGGAGGAAAATCATTTTGTAGTGCATGGAAACAGCAGCTGATCAAATAATCCACCTGGGAGTTGCTTTAGGAGAAAACTAGTTATGTGGCAACTTCAGTGAGAACAGCAAAGGGAAGCTGGTGTCATTGCAATTCAGGAGGGTGTCAAAGATGACCTTCTATGGAAATGCTTTATAATACCCCTTAGGTGTGTTTTGTCTGATCTTTGCTGTATTGAGTAACACTTTGCAGAGAATTCAGCTTTAAAAAGTAGCTATCAAATGTGTATGCTTTCACTGGGTCTGTAATTGGAAGGCTAAAATAAAATCCTATAAAGCATTCAAAGATATTCAACAGGGGCAGAACAGCCTATCCCTTAATATCTTCTGTGAAAATTTAGACCTGGGTTAGCAGAGCAGTAAGATTTGAGAAAGAACATAAAGGCTGTGGGTTAACATGAATGAAGTGTAGTTCTAACATGGTGTTCTCACAAGACTTTGGTCATAAATGCTACAAGTTTTGGGAGTCTAGGGCCTCCCAAGGACATACTTCTGTTTATACTGGAAAATATCCTCCCCATTTGGGATCCAACCTAGCACTTAAATTCCAACTATCAATTTGGATGCAAAATCCCTTAACATTTGTTAGGGTTTCCTAAGTGCCCGTGTTATTTATTAGTAGTCTTTTGGATTATAACACCTCATACATTTCCTAGGACACCTAAAAAGCTAAATTTCCCAGTAGTTTAAATTATTTTCTTTTCCAAGAACAGATAAAAGATTTTTTCCTGTTGTCTGTTTTTAGTCTCTATAGATTGCTTTGTTAGAGTATGTGAGTGAAGTTTGTGGTTGGTACTTGTGTTGCAAGTTCTCCTGTGACTTGCAGGTGCTCTACAGAGTTTAAATAATAAGACTTAGCCACAGGATGTTCAGTAAACAAGATGAATTAAAAAAATTCCATCTCAGAATAGCTCAGTGTCACCACCAGTACGGGGTGGTGAGAAGATGAACAGCAATTTCCCGTGTTCATGGCTACAGGGACTTGGCAAAGGGATTGTACTTCTGATACTTCTGGTATTCTACAAGACAACCCAAAAGCCAGATGGAAAGGCAGGAGGAGGTCTGTGCATCCTGCATGACAAACTGTCTTGTCACAGTGTTTTGTCAAACTGAAAGACTGGACACGGCTGCACAGCACCAAAGGCTACGCTGGGATTCTCCGAAGGGATCACTTGTACCAGGAGTTCCCAGCTGCACCAAGGCTTGGAGTGGAACTCGTGGAAGAATAAGTCCAGGCAGCACCTGAAAATACTCACTTTAATGTTAGGACCTGGATGTAACACAAAATGGCATTAATTATCTTGGATAAAGGCACAGCTCTACAAATGGCAGCACTAGCAGGTCTATGATTAACAGAACAGGAGGTTCCCTCTGACAGGCTGCAGGGTGCAGATTTCTTCCAGGCATCTGTTCCCTCTCTGTCGGTGGTTTTGGCTAATTCTGGTTGCTTTTGCCCATCCAGTTTGAAGATTTTTTTCCCCAGTTTCTATTTTCTGTAGGAAGGATAGAGATTTACCAGACATTTGATTGCTGAGTTTAGATGGAAGACACTGGCAGCTCCAGCTTAGATGTGTGAAGGAGTCATCCTGAGAAACCTTTGGAAAAAACATACCCTGGACAGGGAGCTCCTCTGTGTGCAGTATAGGAAAATGTAGGAACACCACAAAGCCATCAAATAGTCTGGGGCTGGGATGGATAGAGAGATCAAGCAGCCTCTGCTTTTGCTTGCAAGTGGTGCTGGGGTTGGCAAAATGCACTCATTGCTTAGGAAGAGAGATTTATTGCTGTGCTTAAATTCAGAAAACACACCTACTTGTGAATCCCTTGCCTTTCCTCCTGGTGGAACTGACAAAAAACAGCCAAGGACCAGCTGAACTAAAGTTTAATTTGACAAAAGTAGGGAAAATAGCTATTATTTATTCATTAGCCTGAACGATGAATAACAGCACAGCACTAAAAGTGTGAATGACAGGAGAGATTCCCTTACAGAGCCACAAAATCTTGATGTAGGCAGAAAGATTGGTTTGATGTGACACTGATGCAGACAGGTAATTCCAAACAGTTGGTGTATATTATCTTAAATGCCATTAGAGTAATCAGTTGTGAAAGTACTACAGACTTAAATTTTCAGATATCCCCAGATGACGTGAATATAATGCTATGGATCTGAAGCGAAATCTTCCTTTAATGGCTTTAAATCCATTGCACAATATTTGAAGTGTTGAAAAAAAATAATTTTCAGAATTTTGACAGATCTAATGTGAGTTCTTTTAGGCTTAGAGGTAAGTATTAATAATACAGCTGAATGAATGTCTTGCTTTTATTTTTGGTGATTTATATATGAAAGAGAAATTTCACAGTAATGTTGTGTCTTCAGCCTTTATCTTTGATTTCCTGAATGAGAAACATAGGCATAATTCCAAAGACCTTTTCTCTTTCTCTTGAGATGTCGTGTATGTATTTATTTGACAGTAAATACGTGATCTTAGTGTCTAAAGAGGAATTGTAATGTCTAAAGATAGAGTTTGAATGAAAAAAAATCCCTTTTTAAAAAATGGGAGTTATTTTAGGATATGAGTTGTTTCAGCTGTGAGTATCAGCTGAACTGATTCAATAAGGGAGTGATTTGGGATATCTTGGGTGTGCACAGCATTACAATCTACGTCATTCTCCTCATGCTTTGTTATGCAGTGAGACTGATCCTTACTGTAAATCCTCCATATAGCTTCGTTTTTAGACCTGCATATAATGTCTTCCATTAAAAATATTGGTTTGGATCTTAAAACAATGCTTTTTTCCTGACCCTCACCGCCTTAAGCAGGCAAGCCTTCATTGACAAGCTCTGTTAAGTCCGGGGTCTTCCTGCTTTTTAGAACTGTACAACTGAGGAGGTACGTTCTTGTGGGCATTCTTTTGAGATTCCCTGATTACCTCAGTCTGGAAATACTGGTAATAATACGTGGCAAACATCCCTGCCTACCGCCCAGTGGTTTTACAGTGGAGGGAGACGTACAAACAAAGCAGAAAACAAACACACTAAGAGTTGCCTCCTGGGATTTCTTGAAAGAAAAGGCACTGGTAGCCAACAGAGGGTGTTTCAGCCTGTTAATGAGCAGATGTAGCTGGCAACCTTTCATAAGTCGCTCTTAAAATAAATCATTATATAAGTGAAGCTTAATTTCCGATGTGCCTCTGGTGGGTCGGTT